CCAAACACATCCTCCAAATGTCGAAAAAATCCATCCAGGGGTGTGTGTGTGTGTGTGTGTGTGAGAGAGAGAGAGAGAGAGAGAGATTATAACAAAGAGACAGAAACTTACATAGATAACTTGAATTTGTGTTGGCCTTTATATCTTGCATGACTCATTCATGTACCCATTTAATCCTTTTAACTAGCTGCTGCCTCTTTCAGAACTCTTTTCCCCAAAATGAAGTAGGTGATCCTCCTCTGGTTCCCCTTATTTATATTTATAAGGGACATTGGACAAGTAACTGTACCCCTTTGAATTCTGGTTTTACCATCATTAAAATGATGATTGCTTGAGCAGTGGGAGATGTGCCATCATTCATAGACACCCAGGAACTGACTCCGGTGCTTATTGGCAGAAGGCCTGGAGAACCTGATAAGTCTCGTCATCTTCTTAAAGGGAAGTACAGTGAGTGTGCGAATAATTTTGTCCTGAGCATAACATAAGCCCTGGGTATGTATGAACAGTGCTTCAGAAAGAATTTAGACTTTCCTGATATGGCCAGGCCCTATCATCAAGGACAGAGTCACCAGCAGCTACACACTTGATCAGGAACTCTTCTGGTTGGAGGGATACTGCTTCTCTTTGGTGCTCTTTGGCTTCCATTAAGTTTCTGTGCATCTGCCTAAATAAAATGGGACTCGATCCAGTCTACAGCATGTGTGTTCTTTGGTATGGATTCAGTAATCCATATATAACCCCACTGGAACACTGCACTGGTATCTGCCTGTATGTAAACTGTTCTTTCTCCTCACATCCTCTTTTTTAAAATAAAGCCTAGCCCTGCATGGGGCACCATGCTGGGTGTGGAGCGTACTTAAGATTCTCTCTCTCTCTCTCTCTCTCTCTCTCTCCCCCTCCCCCTCCCTCCCTCCCTCTCCCTCTCCCTCTCCTCCTCCCCTGTCTCCCTCTGCCTCCCTCTTTTATTTAAAATAAAATAATAAAATAAAATAAAATAAAATAAAAAATAAAATAAAGCCTAAGTAAGCACCATGACTACTCATCTTAATATCAGCCACCCCTTGTACAGCTCCTGATGCATAATGAGGCCTCAAATTAGTTAACCGTGTGGAAAAACATAATGCAATTGTGTAAGATTTTGTGCTTTAAGGTATATAACATTTCTTATTTTATTTGAGTTTTGCTGCCAGTAGCTTTTAAACTCTGATTCCAAAGAATACTGCTGTTCTCTTGAGCTGAACTGAGGACTTTTGCCTCTAAAATCTAATAATAAGAGTCTTCTTAATTAACTGAAAAATACCAATGAATAATGGGTTATTTTTTCCATTTTCTTTTTAAGATTTTTTATTTATTTGTTTGACAGAGAGAAACACAGCGAGAGAGGGAACACAAGCAGGGGGAGTGGGAGAGGGAGAAGCAGGTTTCCCGCGGAGCAGGGATCCCGATGTGGGGCTCGATCCCAGGACCCTGGCGATCATGACCCGAGCCAAAGGCAGCCGCTTAACAACTGAGCCACCCAGCCACCCCTCTTTTTTCCATTTTCAACTCCCTTCCTACACCATCATTTTTTTTTAAGATTTTATTTATTTGTGAGAGAGAGAATGAGAGACAGAGAGCATGAGAGGGAGGAGGGTCAGAAGGAGAAGCAGACTCCCCGCCAAGCAGGGAGCCCGATGTGGGGCTCGATCCTGGGACTCCAGGATCATGACCTGAGCCGAAGGCAGTTGTCCAACCAACTAAGCCACCCAGGCGCCCCCATTTTTTTTTCTTAAAAGCTTTGATTTCTATAGTAAGTCTATACCTGGTTCAGCACAGAATTGTGTTTTACTATTTTAATTTACATATTATTTCTTTTTTAAATTTTATTTACTTATTTGAGAGAGAGAGTGCACGAGCAGGGTGGGAGGGGCAGAGGGAAAGGGAGAAGCAGATTCCCTGCTGAGCAGGGAGCCCAACATGGGACTCCATCACAGGACTCCATTCCAGGCCTCTGGGATCATGACCTGAGCTGAAGGCAGACGCTTAACCGACTGAGCCACCCAGGTGCCCTAATTTACGTATTATTTCATGAAAATTGACTTTTAGGTGTTCAGCTTTTTGAGCAGATAACACTGTTCACAACAATAGCAAGTGCTATTAACTCTGTTTTATTGGGGGGTTTAGAATTTCCTGCATGAAAATTGCAGACTGGACAGTTCCATGTCCCATGCATGCCTTCTTTCATTTCAGCCTTCTATCAATATTATGATGTATTTTTATCACCAAGTTTTAAATGATGAGTCTGTGTCACCAAGCAGTCAGTGTCACAGAGCCAGGAGAGGTGAATCTCAGTCTTCCTGACTCCAAAACCCACGGTCCTCTCACTGTATGGACACATGATAGTTCTTAAGCCTAATCTTACTGTTAGGTTATAAGCTCCTTCAGTGCGAAGGTTATGTTTTATTTACTTTTTCCCTCCCACAGAAAATTCTATACAACTGGATGTGGTTGTCTCCCCTTTCATTTTGGTTAGCAAGGTGGGCCTTCTACTCTATTACATATATACAAGGACTTCCCCCAAATCGTCTCCAGTACTTAGAAATACTTGTTTTCTGTTCTATAGTAGGATGCATCTGTCTGTCTTTAAGTTACAATTCAGTCTGTTCCTGGCAGGCACTTTCAAATGAGGCTTGGCAATTTAAAAAAACAAATACCAAATGAATTTTAAATTGCCAAAGGGAGGGTTGTTTAAAACTCTCTGAGATAGCAGTTCATATTTAAATATGCTCATTATTCCAGTATGAAATGATTTATACTTGTTACTAACACATTAAGACAGCCAAAGGAAAATTAGAAGGTGACTCAACAGGAGACATTCAAGTATGGAATCCAGAAAAAGTAGAGAAGAACAAAACTTACTCCAGATGAGTTGGGAGTATGTTTAAGGTCTAGCCACCTTCATTTGTTCCAAATAATGGATACACTGGTACAAAACTGAACTATCTTGTTCTGGGAGACACACTGTAATATTATGGCCTATTGATTGAATGCTCAAACTCAAATTCATATTGTCATCGAATTATGTCTTAAATAATTTAGCATTTTGTTATTAAAACAGCAGACACTGATGGTAGGTGAAGAGTCATAACCATGTCCTTAGAGTTGCAGGAAAATTATCTAGGGTTAAGAAAAATATATTTATTATCCAGGAAGAGTGACAGGTCTCCCTCTCTCTCTCTCTGTCTCTCTCTCTCACACACACACACACACATATGTATATTCTGTATATATTTATATATATGTGTGTATGACTCAACTGAAAAAACTGTTGTCAATCACTAAAATTTCCGTTTCTGTGCCTCTGAATCAACTTATTTTTGGATCTTGGTGTCCCATGCTGGTTCTACTTGCTTTTGTTTGTTTTTAGATCATTGGCATGCAATGTCCTAGTCTGGGTTAAATGTTTAGAAACTAACTATAGTTTCACAGAGTTTTCCCCATTCTCTTCTTAATTTTTAGGATAATAGGTTGCTTCTGAGGATATCACATTTAGACTGATTTGTCCACTTTATGTTAATGGTAATTCAGATCACCTGAATCAGGGGAGATAGTGGTACAGGACCAGGACCCTACTGTCTTGAGATTTTTATGATATTTTTCTCTTGTACTTATTTCCTTTTAATGTCTCATTCCAGAGAGTTGCCAGCCAGACAACCACTGCTGTGTCACTTGCTTAAGAATTTTTAGATGGAAATGGAGGAATTAGGGAATAATGTAGTGAAATGTTTATTAATAAAAAAGAAATAATGGACCGTAAACTTGGACTTTATAATACCTTTTGGTTAGTGTTTCATCCTCAGTAGCATGTTAATTTCCTATTATAAAAGAAGTTATTTTTTTAAAAAGCAACAAGGATAAAAAGAGTCTGAACAAAGATGGAAGGTATTAGTGTCTATATTTTGTACATAGAATAAAAATGTTGGAGCACATATAAAAATTAGATTTGTAAATAATTTCAAAATGGATTCACTTTTTGTAACTGTACCATATAAAATGAAATATAAAAAAATGTTCTTTTAAGCAGCAATAGCTCGAGAGAGTTGGGGAAGATTTTGCAGAATATTGATAAATGGAGAATTGCAGTTCTACTGTTTTCCACTTTTTCCCCAAAGAATGCAAATAAAAAGTTGATTTTTACATGAGAGCAATTTTTAGACCACAAAAGGACTTCTTTGAGAGTTTCCTCTACAGTGGCCAATTTTGTATGAAACAAATTATTTTAGGCCTAATTGCAGGCAGACTAGTTAGGCCGCCAGCTCTGTTAAGGTTGAATTTCACTTGAACTTTCTAATAGTATGATCTTTTCTCAGAATTTAATAACTGGCTCAAATATTTAATAGTGGAAGCTTTCATTATATTAAAAAGAAATCAGATATATTTTTAGAAGAACTAACTTATTTTCCTTATCAGTTTTATCGGCTTTGGGAGAAAAGGAAGATAATGGAGTCATTCTCTTTCTGTACTTAAATAGACATTAATGCTATAACCCCAGCAAATAATATATTTCAGTGTATATCATCATTCAAAAGATTTAGGAAGCACCAAGTGGCAGCAATAACTATACTTCTAACTCTACTGAATAGCAAATTGCACTGACTGTGTGAATCTCTTCACTTGTCTGCTGGATAATCATTCTTTTTAATACTCAGATACATTCTCTAGATCAGTTGCAGTGGCACACTGTCAACTTCTGCATTCCCTAATCGGTTTTGGTTAAGTACAATGACTTGTTTTGAAATGCAAGTGGGAAAGGATGAGAGTTGAAAGATTTTGTTTCTATGTGTCAGTCTGTAAATAGATGACAAAAGATCATTAAATGGATTAATTTACAAGCATCCTTAGAAATAGAATGTTTTTACATAAAAGCATGTTGTAAACCTTTTTAATTAAATTGCACTGTACCATGCACTCTCTTCCCCCCAGGGTTCTGTTGACCTCTCACCTCTTACTTTGTCCTACAGGCACTCCACTGCTGGTGAGGAGAAGCAGTGACCCAGCACCAGGCCCACCTGCTGATGCCCAGCCAAGTGCTTCACACCCCAGTGGCCAGAGTCTGAAACCTGTTATTCTAGTAGGTATCCTGCAGTTTGCCTTTCTAATGAAAGATCAAAGTGCCTTACCCATAGACTAACCAGGACTTCACAGTCTTAAGTAAGTTGATCATTAGAGAGTATTTGATAGGACATATAGTATCAGTAATAGCAACTATGAGCTATCACTAGAACTTATATTCTAACAATTTACATAGCACTGATTATGTGCCAAGGACTCTTTTAAGTGCTTTACAAAAAGTCATTTAAACTTCCACATCAAGGTGGGCACAAATTTTTGCCATTTTACTGATAATGCCATTGAGGCAGAGGGAGGTTTAGTAGTTTATCTGAGGTCACAACTAGTAAGTGACACAGTCAAGAATTTAACCCAGGTGGTTTGGCTCCAAAGTCTGTGCTCTTAACCAGCACACCACACTGTTGAATTTCCTCCATCCTCCTGTTTTAGTAATGCCCAAGGATATCATTTTATATATTTTCAATGTGTTAATGCAGGGCTTTGTGAAGTCCTGCCATGGTGAACGGTCATAGAGTTTCAAGATACCAATATCATGTGTATGTGGTGCCAGGACTGGGTTTCTAGAACTCAACATCCAAATTAAACAAAAATAAAATTAAATACCAGAAGTGCTTATAACAAGACACACTTATAACTGATGGGTTAAATGGAGAATGAATCCTGAAGAGATGATGTCCTCCTTTCATATGGTACTGTCGGATCTTTCTGATAAATCCTGAGTCACTTGGAAGAGTTGTGACTGTGGTCCATCCTTGGAAATAGCCTGAGAGTTGGATTTTGGTTAATGGGTATATATTTTTGCAATAGGTGATCTTCAATAATGTAGCCATATTTAAAAGTTTCCTAAAAGCAAGGCTCTTCCCCATTTTAAGTCTCACTGTCTATAGTGCCTTAAGAAAAAAAGCAATATTTTAGAGTTATATAAGGATGCTGAATGAACTAACCGGATTCTCACCAGTTTGGTATAAAAGGCTCTTCTCAAGAACGATTGACAATGTATATGAGTTAGGAGTCACTATACCAAACCATTATTTACTAATAATTTTGTTGCAGTATTTTAGCCTATTTCTTTCTGTAAACAAGGAAGCAAGTGTCCTCATAGTATTTTATTTTATTTTTTTAAAAGATTTTAGTTATTTATTTGATAGAGACACAGCAAGAGAGGGAACACAAGCAGGGGGAGTGAGAGAGGGGGAAGCAGGTTTCCCGCGGAGCAGGGAGCCCGATGCGGGGCTCGATCCCAGGACCCTGGGATCATGACATGAGCCGAAGGCAGACGCCTAACGACTGAGCCACCCAGGCGCCCCAAGTGTCCTCACAGTATTTTAGATGTAATGTTTCCCCACCATCCTTTTAAGGAAACATATTTAATGGAACATTACTTTAATAAAAATCATGTGTATGTGTTCTACTTTAATGGTGAGTTTAAACAGAAACAGTATTTAACACACTGATTGAGACTGTGTGAAGCCCAAGTATATTGGATTGGAGGAAGAGAAACTATATAAATGAGAAAAGTTACAGTTTACTGCTTATTTTTACAATGTCAGTATACCCCAGGTCAGAGTGTATCTGATTGTGTTATCATCATTTACATGCAGAGAATCACCAGTATTTAGTTCAATGTTTTTATCACTTAGGTTCTGTGTTTAGACTAATTGAAAATACTCAATACTGCTTTCCCTACAGGAAATGAGGACTATTATATTTCTGATAGATTACATATTCTTACCAAACTAGAATACCCTTGAATTCTAAGTTGAGGTATTTGGTGAGGGAGTATATTATTACTAGCAAAGATGCAAATCCTGATTCAAGAAGAAAGGCTGGCTCCCCAGATCCTAACCGTATGCAAGGTACCAAGCAGTGGCTGAGTCTGTCAGTATCAACAGTAAAAAGGAAAATACATTTCTTCCTTTCCTCAGTGTTCTCTGTGGCTGATGAAATGCAGACCCCAAAGAATAGACTCTGGTCTTTGGCTTGCCACAGAACACTGGCACATCCTAGCCTTCTCTTTTTTCAGTTGTAAAATTATGTCCAAGCAAACTTTAAGCCTTAACAGTCCAAGGTGCAAACATTGTGCTTATTATTTATCTTTCTATTTCTAGTGCCAAGTACATGGAGGGTGCTCACTGCATATGTGTTAGACTTAGGAGTGCAGGCACATATTAGTCTGGGAAAAGTTCTAGAATTTCTCAGCAGTTTACCCACCTTTTCTAATTTGGCCATTCTCTCTGTTCCCCAAAACAACTACCAGGTAAAGTTGTATCTGCTCCAAAGTCTGGTTCACCTCAGGCAAGAAACAGATAGTTTAACTGCTGTGCTATGAAAATCAGGCAAAGTTAGAAAAGGAAGACATTTAGTTGAGTCTATTTTTACCCAGAAGAAAAATAACGTGTGTGTGTGTGTGTGTGTGTGTGTGTGTCTGTTATGATTCTGTTCATTTATTCCTGCGTATCCTAACTCATGGACTATTTAGACTGCATTGTCCGATATTATAGCCATGGCCACACGTGGTTATTGAGCACTAGAAATGTAATTCGAGTGTAATATACATAATGGATTTTAAAGATTGAGATATAAAAAAGAGTAATATGAAAGACCTCATTAATAACTTTTATGTTGACTACATATTGAAATAAGACTATGGTATATTAGGTTGAGTAAAATACATTATCAAAATTATTTTCACCTGTTTCTTTTTAAAGCATGGCTGCTAGAAACTTTAAAATTAGATCTATGGCTCACATTCTATTTCCATTGGACAGAACAGCTCTAGACAGAAGTAAAATTGGATATAGCATTAATGAAATGGTTTGAGACCCTTGGGAGAAGTTCTTTGAGTTGCATATCATCTCTGGGGTAACAGTATGATTAGGTTTGCCTGGGGCAGTCCTCATTCGTGCCTGTTGTTCTGGCATAATTATTAATAGTGTCCCCACTAACTCTCAGAGATGTCCATGCACGGGTGATAAATTATGTGGCACCCTACATATAGCCCCATAGTCACTTTCATTGTTTGCTCAGCGATAAGAGGAACGGCCTTTCAAGGAAACCATGGGAACACAACCACAACTCTCACACCGGAGCACACTGCAGAGAGGGTTTTGTGTGGCCAGCCCCTGAGCCCAGGGAGTACACAACTGGAGACTGCAGATTCTTTCCCATCTCTCAGATTCCATAGTTCTACTTGGTGCTTCCTCCGCAACTTCAGCTGCACCATATTTGATGCCCGTGAATTAATAAGTGATGATAAATATGGGGAGTGTGTGATAATTCAGCCATGGTGCAACTAACATGAGCAATAATTGCTTAAAAACTCTGTTCAGTTGCATTGCATTTCAATATCAAAATTTCCATCTCTTAAACAGAGTGTTCACATGTAAGTAATTCACAGATGGCAGAGCCCCAAGTGGGTTATGTTCAGTCATTCCCAAGAAATGAAACTTACTTATAACCCACAGCTTAAAAAGCTGGAAGGATGAATATTTGACACATTTGATTATGTTGAAATATTGCCTTTAAAACCACAGTTGATGACTGTTATTTTTACTTGCACTTCATTAGGCTTATTATAGCAGGAAGAACTTTCTCTGATGCCCAGAGATGCATGTTTGTGAAAAGTTGGAGAAGTTGCACTTGTTTTCTGGCTGGTTAAATTATTACAAATTGGTTATTTAAGATGTACACCCTCAGACAAGTTGAAGTTTTAAAAAGAGTTCAAATTAGAAAAATCAAATTCTCTACAAGTCTCAGATTCTGTGTATTGAAAAGCCACCAAATCTCACTCTTTGTTACTTAGGGTACCACCAGCTAAACAGCATGGAAATTTATTTTCTTTCTTCCTCTTTTCATAAACCCATCAGTTAATCAGAATAGCATAATTATTAATGTGCAAAGCATAATGACTATCTTTCAAGGCAATAGAAAATCCAATTCTACTGACTGCTTTTGAATTAAAGAAAGAGAATCCTGGGGGCAAGATGTAATAGTGGGAGTCTGCTGATGGGATGTCTTACCTCCTAGCATTGATTGTAACCTGGTGTTCTTGGCTTAAGGGCATGCCATAAAACCAGGTTCTTGAAATTGATGTTCCCGAATTTGTGGGTGGAAGAGAACTCTAAAACAGATGTGATTTTTTTCTTAATATCCGGTTAACTACTATGGTTGTTTTGTGTTTTAATGACTGTTTATAGTTTCACATTTAACCCCTAAAGCAAAATGATCCTGCAGGGCGAGTAAATTAAAAAGTGAATTCCTGAAAATTATAATGCTGTGGTTGTTCTTGGATAGTAAATGACTTTGTTTGTTCTAAAACTGTTACTTGTCTTGCATCACCAAAATAAATTAAGAAAATATTGCTCTGTCTTTTAAAAGTTCTTATCCACAATGTATACGGTTTCTTTTTAAAAAATAGCATGGCAATACTTTAGGTTATTAAATTGGGAGTCCATGAATGAGTGTCAGAGGGTCTGTTAACTCTGAAGTTTGATGCTGTGGACCGTTGCACGTGCATGCATTTTTTTGTGAAGGAGACTCTATTACTTTTTTTTTTTTTTTGAGACTCTCAATCTTACCAAATTTTAAAAAGAAAAAAATGATCAAGAACTACTTGTTTGCAGGTTTAGGATGAAACAACGTGGGAAAGCCGTCAATCCTCAGAATTTGATGAATGATAGAGATTAAGAATGCAGTGGGAATTGACACCACCCCACAAATATTAAATAATTAAGGCTATTTCATCTTATTATCACCTTGCCTATCCAACACAAAGCCTATAAACTCAAGATGTAAGGATGAATAGAAGTTTTTGAATTGCTGCTTTGAGAGGTCAGCAATTACTCTTTAGTGAGTAGCAACCTGATTCTCAGCAAGCGTAGGATTGGAGGTAAAGGGAAGACACCCTGGGGAGAAGTGTTTCCAGTGGTCTTGCATGTTAAGGGAGATGAGATGGTTCTTGGTAGTTTTTCCTATTTTACCAGCAAAGATAGTGGCAGGTAG